TTGGTCTACCCGACATAGTAAAATGAAGCAGTGATTTAAATAATCGCCGCTTCATTTAAATTTACATGGCTGCCGCGCTGAGCCGACAAACAGCTGATCAGCTGTTTGTCGGCTCAGCGCGGCAGCCATGTAAATTTAAATGAAGCGGCGATTATTTAAATCACTGCTTCATTTTACTATGTCGGGTAGCCTAATCTACATGCCTCTGTCGCCAGAGGCATGTAGTCTAGACGTACCCTTAGTCTCACTCTCTATTGCTCTCTAGTTTATGGTCAGACAAATAAAACAAATCAGTCTTCTTACATGGAAGTAAATGCCTTTATTGTATCTTTTTATTTATCTCACAGGTATTTTTGGCATATCCCACTCACGTACATCACCAGCAGCTCTGACACTGTTCACAGACACATATTAAAAACAAAGACAGGTAATGAAGTCTGATCGCTGGTTTTGTAATTAGTGACTTGATTGCCTTAACAATGGGTTGACCTTTACTAATCAATTAAAAGAAATAAATTTCCTAACCACATTTTTTTGCATACTTGTTGGGACCCCTTTTTGTTCTTTTCTTTATATTACTTCCCTTTCTTGCTTTTCCATGCCCTAAGATAGTGGGCAGATCTGTATGTTACTCTACAGATTAATGTATGAAGTGGAGAGGTGAGAGGTGCTGCTAACATTATCGATAAAACATACAAATCACTTTAGGAACTGAATTTAATTCCTAGAGTTTCTTCTAAATAATACATGTAAATACTAACTTTTTATTATCACTGCCAACATTGGGAAATGATTCCTGGCAGGGACAGATAAAATTTAAAAAAAAAGATTGAGAGAGCATTGAGTGCTTGGGAAGGGTTCTGTACCAGCAATGGAAACTCTTCCATGCTGCCTCTGGCCAACTAGTGTGCAAGGAACTCAGACTTGGATGGATTGCATTACCTTGTTTGTCCCAAGCCTGCTCTCTTTGCTGAGAAATGGATAGAGAACACCAGCCAATTTCACAGAAGGCATCAAGCAGCTACAAAATGGCAACAGCTATTGGTCTAGCAGCCTAAACAGGATTCGATCCAGCAATGTAAAGAGAAGAAAAAGGACTTGTCTCCCATCACCAATCCCATAAATGACACTGGTTTCTCAACCTGTTGAAATATTTTCGATATAAACTATTTGTCCATGTGGCACACTGAAAGGATATATATTTTAATGTGCACTAAAAGGTGCACTAAAAGTTCCTAATGTAGTACTGTTTGAAAATGGACTACGTTGATGTGCGCTAGGGAATTTTTAATGCAAGCCAACAGAGTCCACCTGGGTCAGCTGATGCACTTCAGGCCAGCATATACAAGAGTTTACATTCCTCTAGTGTGGACTAGGGAAGTTTGTGTGTAGTTGGTTACATGATTAACTGATAAGCATGCGTTTATTGGTTAATCCTACCAACTACATACCGCCCCCTCCCTTGCTGCCTCTCTATCACTTGTCGTCCCCATCCCCCACCCACCCTCTGCTGCCTCTCGCAGAGGCAACAGTAAGGGGGTGGCAGGCAGCAGCTGGCTTTCAAGCTGGCTCCCCATGTGTATCAGCTCCCATGGAGCCATTTGGCCCCTGTGCTGCTGCCTCTTTATCAGAGGCAGTGTGAGGGGGAGGGGCAGGTAAGAGCCAGTGCTCAAGGGAAGTACTCTCAGATCAGTTCTCTCAGACCAGATCTCTCTCCAACTGGCTTCTGCCTGTCCCTCTCTCCCATGTGTAAACGGGTAACCACTAATTTTTTCAGTGGTTACACGTTTATACAAATAAAGGCTAGTTAACAGCCATCATGTGGACTAATGCACTGTGTAGACAGTGCCCCAAAATAAAAGCTATGAGGATTTCTGCTTAACAAATACCTGAAAAAGGATTTAGAAAGTTATCTTCTCAGTATATTGCACAGTTCCCCAGGTGAAACCACTGACAGGTGTAATGCTTGCTTGTTCCTTCATTTTAATTTTTGATATGCAGTTAAAAAATAAATTTCCATGTGAAATCTCTCCCATTCAGACACTCTAGAACTGGAAGGAGAGGTCACCTGGATTAAATTCAATGTGGACATGAATGGCTATTACATTGTGCACTATGAAGGGAATGGCTGGAACAACATCATTAAACTGTTAAATCAGAACCACACCCTTTTCAGCCACAAAGACCGAGCGAACTTGATCCACAATGCATTTCAACTGGTCAGGTAATAAGAGTTTCCTATTTGAAGCTGACAAAAAGAATCTCAATTTTTAACAGGAAAGAATCAAAAGTCTGTGTGTCAAAATGAAAGAATAAACTGCACCCACGCTGGTGTATGCATTGAAGCTAAATCTACACTTATCATATTAAAGCACTGTCATAGCAGTGCTTTAAAGTGAAAATATGGCCACAGTACTAAGGCTGGGAGAGGATTCCACATACACCATCCAAACAAGGGAAATAGTTAATAGCACTGGGAGCCATTTACAGTGGTATTTCACAGTGCTGTAACTTGCTGTGTTCATTGGGATATTTTTTTCACACCCCTGAGCAAGAAAGTTGCTGCACAGTAAAATAGCAGTGTAGACATGGCCTTACTGCCATTTTGTAGGCAAATTGGATGAATGCATATTCAGACAGGAACAAAGGTATCTAATTAACACAATTTGCACAAGTACAAACATGCACTTTGCAGTAGGGTCAGTTTTTCATGTGCCTGAGAGACCCTCCTTTTGAAAACTGGACAGAGTCAGAACCAGGTCTATTCAAACTTAACTTTTAGTACCACTTTGTGTGAAGTGAGTCCAGAAATCAAAGACACAGAATTCATTTTCTGAACATCGCGCTGACTCTCTTCTCCAGGCTGAAAGGAGCAGCGAAGTATTTAGTTACAGTTAACAGCAAGAGAAACTGTGCAAAAGCTAAAAGAATAAACATTTCCTAGATTTCCTAGGGCATGCATAACACTAAACCTGGTGCTTCTTGACCAAAATAGACTCCCTCATAGGTGTGCAGAGTACAGAGAGACTGAGGGAAAACAGTTTGGCTTTCCCTTCATTACCTTTCTTTTAATTTCACTGAAGGTAATTATCAGCATGTGGTGATGTTATGGGCTCATTGCTGTTTCCCATAAAGACAGGACACCACTTTCTTTTAATCTTCTTAGAAGATTTTTCTTGGGAAAAATAAAATAACCCATCCCTACAGGAAACAATATTTTGAACCACAGGTTTCTGTGTCTAAAAACTAATTTGAGAGAGGCTAGCAGTCAGTTTCATGTACTATTTTAATGGCACATGCTTGCTTGAATAATTTCCTAGGGAGACAGCAATAAGACACTAGTGAGGCTACAACTGGAGTATTGTGTACAATACCAGCCCTCTCCCCCCCCCCCATTATAGAAAGGATGTGGACGCATTGGAGACAGTCCCATGAGGGGCAACAAAAATTATTAGGAGGCTGGAGTGCGTAATTTATGAAGAGAGGCTGAAAGATTTGGGCTTATTTAGTCTACAGAAGAGTGAGGGGGGGAGTTTTTAACTACCTGAAGGGGTTCCAAAGAGGATTGAAAGAGGTTGTTCTCAGTAGTGAAAGATGACAGAACAGGGAGCAATGGTCTCAAGCTGCAGTGGGGGAGGTCTAGATTGGATATTAGGAAAAACTCTTTTACTAGAAGGGTGGTGAAGCACTGGAATGATTTACCTAGGGAGATATTGGAATCTGCATTCCTAGAGGTCTTTAAGTCCTGGCTTGACAAAGCCCTGGCTAGGATGATTTAGTTGGGATTGGTCCTGCTTTGGGCAGGGGGTTGGACCTGATGTCCTCCTGAGGTCTCTTCCAGCCCTATCATTCTATGAAGGCATTTTGAGAGAGCTAGGTAAGGCACCCTTCAGTCCCCACGTTTGCACACAGAACTCACAGATTATTGTGGCATTTTATTGAGGAGGTATCTGAGCCTTTAGCTATCATCTTTGAAAAATCATGGAGGTCAGGAAAGATTCCAGAAAACTGGAAAAGGGCAAATATAGTGCCCATGTATAGAAAGGGAAATAAGAACAATCCGGGAAACTACAGACCAGTCAGTTTAACTTCTCAGCCAGGAAAGATAATTGAGCAGTTAAGGAATTCATCTGCAAACATCTGGAAGAAAATAAAGTGATAGCAGAAGTCAGAACTAAGAACAAATCATATCAAAGCAATCTGATAGCTTTCTTTGATAGGATAACAAGCCTTGTGGATAAGAGAAAAGTTGTGAACATGGTATACCTAGACTTTAGTAAGGCATTTGATATGGTCTCGCATGACCTTCATATCACTAATCTAGGCAAATACAACTTAGATGGTGCTACTATAAGGTGGATGCATAACTGGCTGGATAACCATTTTCAGAGAGTAGTTATGAATGGTTCATAGTCATGCTGGAAGGGCTTAACAAGTGGGGTTCTGCAGCAGTCTCTTTTGGGACTGGTTCTATTCAATATCTTCATCAACTATTTAGATGATAGCATAGAGAGTACATTTATTAAGTTTGCAGATGATACCAAGCTGGAAGGGGTTGCAAGTGCTTTGAAGGATAGGGTCATAATTCAAAATGATCTGGACAAACTGGAGAAATGTTCTGAGTAAATAGGATGAAATTTAATGACAAATATAAAGTACTCAATCATTTCGCACATACAGAATAGGAAGCAGTACTGCAGAAAGGCATCTAGGGGTCATAGTGGACCACAAGCTAAATATGAGTCTACAGTGTGACACTGTTGCAAAAAAAGCAAACATGATTCTGGGATGCATTAACAGGAGTGTTCTGAGCAACCCTGGGGCTGTTGCTATTCTTCAAAGCGGAGGCACCGGTATTGACTAATAGAATAATCAATGCAAATTGCATTGACTGATTGATTAGCCCATTAATCTAAATTTAACAACCCTAAATGGCAGCATGAAATTCTTTACCTGTTCTTGCCCCTGGGGCTGTTGCTATTCTTCAAAGCGGAGGCACCGGTATTGACTAATAGAATAATCAATGCAAATTGCATTGACTGATTGATTAGCCCATTAATCTAAATTTAACAACCCTAAATGGCAGCATGAAATTCTTTACCTGTTCTTGCTGCTGCTTGCTCCAAAAACTTCTTTCAGGAGTATAGAACTCTATCTTTTAGGCTGCGTCTAGATTGGCATGATTTTCTGGAAATGCTTTTAACGGAAAAGTTTTCTGCTAAAAGCATTTTCGGAACAGAGCATCTAGATTGGCACGGACGCTTTTCCGCAAAAGCACTTTTTGCAGAAAAGCATCCGTGCCAATCTAGACGCACTTTTCCGCAAAAAAGCCCCGATCGCCATTTTCGCGATCGGGGCTTTTTTGCAGAAAACAAATCTGAGCTGTCTACACTGGGCCTTTTGCGCAAAAGCTTTGCTCAAAAGGGACTTTTGCCTGAACGGGAGCAGAATAGTATTTCCGCAAGAAGCACTGATTTCTTACAGTAGGAATTCAGTGCTTTTGTGGAAATTCAAGCGGCCAGTTTAGACAGCTGGCAAGTTTTTCCGGAAAAGCAGCTGGTTTTCCAGAAAAACTGGCCAATCTAGACACAGCCTTACTGTTTATACAAGAAAAGGAAATACAAAAAATAAAAAATCTAAAGTACACGTAGTATCTCATATGTGTAGAACTAATGATACTGTTATAAAATAAGCATTAATTCTTGAAACATATAGATCAAGTTAGGATATGCATCACCTGAAGTGTTAGTGGAGAAGTCATCTTTATTGCTGTGCTGTTTCAATGGGCAAAACGGAATTTGCAGAACTTCATGAACATGACATCTTTTCTTGGCAAAGTGCATGAAGACAGTACAGAATTATACTTGGAGTGAGTCACAAGAGCTCACATAATAATCCCTTTGTTGGCCTCAGTTATTTTGAATGTTCTTTCTAAGGCTGTATTGTGGCATTGGGCAACCAAAGATAGTGAATCAGCTGCCTACACCTCAGAGGGTTGCAAGATTGAAATCAGGCATGTGCACTAACCATGCACATAGAATAAATCATAGAATATTGGAACTGGAGGGGAATTGGGAGGTCATAAAGTCCACTCCCCAGCCCTCATGGCAGGAACAAGTGCCATCTAGATCAGGAGTGGGCAATAATTTTTGCCAGGGGGCTACTTCAAGATTTTGGAAAATGGTCGAGGGCCACATTTTTCCAATATTAATGGAGGAGGTGCGGATTCTGGGGTGGAGTTTGGGTGCAGAAGGGAGCTTGGGGTAAAGGATTGGGGTGCAGGATGCAGTGGGGGGTCTGGAAGGAAGCTTGCGTAAAGGAGGCAATTGTGACCTAGGACAGGGGACTGGAGTGCAGGGGTTTGGTTTGTGAACAAGGGGAGGGGACTGGAGTGTAGGAGTTTGGGTTGTAATCTAGGGTAGGAGGGGATTGTGATCTAGGGCAAGGGATTAAGATGCCAGACCTGGGAGGGAGTATGGGTGCAGAAAGGGGGCAAAAGGTTTGGGTCTGTTGAGTGGAGGGGCAAAGGGTTGGGGAAGACAGGCTGGGATGCAAGAGGCAGACTCTGACAGGAGATTTACCAGCCAGCAGCCCAACCAGCCTGCCTGCCTGCAGAGCTTAAAATGTTTCTCAGCCAGCCTGCCTGCCCTGCGCCTGCACAGGCTTGCACGGCCATGTGTTTGTGAATAACTGAGCTGGCGAAGAGCAGGGCATGGTGCTTTGTGTGCTGCCTGTTATTCAAACGGGCAGCTGCCATTGGCCAGTTTCTGACCAGAAGCCAGCTAATGGGAGTCCTGGGGGTGGGAGTTACACCTGAAGTCTTCCCTCCTCCCTTCCAGGCTCTCAGTTTTAAAAGAGAAACGGCCCTGCAGATTCTTTTCTGAGTGGTGTGTGGGGCTGTGGGTCAAATAAGGGAGCCTGCCTGAGGCTACCTGCTGTGTCGTCATAGCTGCTGGGGAGGCCCAGAGCAGTGGCATGTGGCTGCCTGGGAGTGGCGAACGAGAGTCCTGGTGCGCAGCTGCTGAGTGGGATAGAAGGGAGGCGAGAGTCCTGGCACGTGACTGCCCGGGGGAGCCAAGAGCCGGGGTGCACAACTGCCTGGGGGTGTTGGCAGGGCAGTGGAGCCTGCAGCAGGTGGGGAGCCAACTGGGAGGCCAGCGGGCCAGGCCAGAGTCGGTGGGCTGGGGGATAGGGACGCCAGAAATGACCTCCCTTGGTCTGGAAAAATCCTTCATCCAGGACCGGTCGGGCCTCAAGGGTGCTGGAACAGGGAGGTTCAACCTGTAGTTGAAAACTGCTATCACATCCCCTCTCAGTCTCCTCTTTTCTAAACTAAACAAAACCAGTTCTTTCAGTTTTCCCTCATACGTTAATACATGGCATGCTGAGTATTTCAGAACAAGTAGAAATATTTTAGTCATTCATATATCAATAGAACTGTCATCAATCAACTTCAAATAATAATAATAAAAAAATTTACACTTACTTTACAATATCAAATCTCTGCCCAGCCTCTTTGCTGACTCCTCTCCCGTGTGTGTCCATCCCTGCTCCTCCCAGCACTTCTGGAGTGCCACGAATTTGTTGATTCACACCTTGTCCCCGCTCCTTCCCCTTCCTCTCAGAGCTTGAACACCATGGCTCAGCTGATTCATGGCACTCTGGAAGTGTGGAAGGGATGGGGAGGAATCATGGGGCTCCCAGTGCATGAGAGGCAAGGGGGGAAGGCACAAGGAAAAGGTGTGAGGGCCAAACATGGAACCCCACTGGGTAGCATTCAGCCCCTGGGCCGCAGTTGTCCACCTCTGTTGTTCTGACTAACTCAAACTGCTTTGGTGCATTGTGGAGGAAAGCCTGATACCCTTGCTTGTAGCGGGTTTTTTTAGCTATCAAGTCTCTGATCGTTTGGGAGAAGCCTTGAACATTAATGAATCTAACAGTTAATCAGCTGTACTCCACTCGCTATAGCTACAGGTCTTCAGAAGTCATGCTCAAACCCTGCTCTGGCGTCTACACCCAAATGCTGCTTTGGCTGAATTCTTCCTAACTGTTCACTCTCTCTTCTTCTTTGGGCACCTCCTTGCAGATAGTTTAAAAATGGTCAGTGAAGGATGTTCATCCTCTAGAATGCTCAGTAGACTAATGAGGCCATGGCATGTAAGGAGACGGTGCAAGGCTTTAAGAGGGGGAAATGGTGATTGATGACCCATGACGATGGAAGATTTGTTGTTCTTGACTCTATGGAGGGTCCCGGGGATAATTTTGGTTAAGTTGTATGGAGAATTTTAAGGAACTGTAGAGTATCTGCTTGACATATATAGGGCTCACTAATTATCTGACCCAAAAAACTGAAGATGACATTTCATGCTCTCTCTTAAGTAATGCCACATACATCCTGCCTTTTGATGTAGAATCTATGGCACAAAGCAAAACCACAAAGCACTGAAAACTAGGTCAGGCAGACATATCTGATAGCCAGTTTAATACAAATTTCTATTTCTGTATTTTTTACCCATGAACTCAAAGCACTTCAGAATTGTCATCCTCACAACATCCTAAGCAAAATGAAAGTTTGTGTTAGATCTGGAGAGCTTCAAAGATCAGAGAAAAATTGCTCTGGTCCTAAAGGTCTTACAATCATTATCCTCACATTGAAGATGCAAAAACTTTACACACAAACTTGGATTAAATGATTTGCGTAAAGTCACATAGTTATTGCCTTGTCCGGTGTACATTAAAGTCAAACAAACTTCAGTGGGCAGTGGACCAGAATCTGGTCGGGCCTCAAGGGTGCTGGAACAGGGAGGTTCAACCTGTAGTTGAAAACTGCTATCACATCCCCTCTCAGTCTCCTCTTTTCTAAACTAAACAAAACCAGTTCTTTCAGTTTTCCCTCATACGTTAATACATGGCATGCTGAGTATTTCAGAACAAGTAGAAATATTTTAGTCATTCATATATCAATAGAACTGTCATCAATCAACTTCAAATAATAATAATAAAAAAATTTACACTTACTTTACAATATCAAATCTCTGCCCAGCCTCTTTGCTGACTCCTCTCCCGTGTGTGTCCATCCCTGCTCCTCCCAGCACTTCTGGAGTGCCACGAATTTGTTGATTCACACCTTGTCCCCGCTCCTTCCCCTTCCTCTCAGAGCTTGAACACCATGGCTCAGCTGATTCATGGCACTCTGGAAGTGTGGAAGGGATGGGGAGGAATCATGGGGCTCCCAGTGCATGAGAGGCAAGGGGGGAAGGCACAAGGAAAAGGTGTGAGGGCCAAACATGGAACCCCACTGGGTAGCATTCAGCCCCTGGGCCGCAGTTGTCCACCTCTGTTGTTCTGACTAACTCAAACTGCTTTGGTGCATTGTGGAGGAAAGCCTGATACCCTTGCTTGTAGCGGGTTTTTTTAGCTATCAAGTCTCTGATCGTTTGGGAGAAGCCTTGAACATTAATGAATCTAACAGTTAATCAGCTGTACTCCACTCGCTATAGCTACAGGTCTTCAGAAGTCATGCTCAAACCCTGCTCTGGCGTCTACACCCAAATGCTGCTTTGGCTGAATTCTTCCTAACTGTTCACTCTCTCTTCTTCTTTGGGCACCTCCTTGCAGATAGTTTAAAAATGGTCAGTGAAGGATGTTCATCCTCTAGAATGCTCAGTAGACTAATGAGGCCATGGCATGTAAGGAGACGGTGCAAGGCTTTAAGAGGGGGAAATGGTGATTGATGACCCATGACGATGGAAGATTTGTTGTTCTTGACTCTATGGAGGGTCCCGGGGATAATTTTGGTTAAGTTGTATGGAGAATTTTAAGGAACTGTAGAGTATCTGCTTGACATATATAGGGCTCACTAATTATCTGACCCAAAAAACTGAAGATGACATTTCATGCTCTCTCTTAAGTAATGCCACATACATCCTGCCTTTTGATGTAGAATCTATGGCACAAAGCAAAACCACAAAGCACTGAAAACTAGGTCAGGCAGACATATCTGATAGCCAGTTTAATACAAATTTCTATTTCTGTATTTTTTACCCATGAACTCAAAGCACTTCAGAATTGTCATCCTCACAACATCCTAAGCAAAATGAAAGTTTGTGTTAGATCTGGAGAGCTTCAAAGATCAGAGAAAAATTGCTCTGGTCCTAAAGGTCTTACAATCATTATCCTCACATTGAAGATGCAAAAACTTTACACACAAACTTGGATTAAATGATTTGCGTAAAGTCACATAGTTATTGCCTTGTCCGGTGTACATTAAAGTCAAACAAACTTCAGTGGGCAGTGGACCAGAATCTTATGCAGCAGCAGAACTGGGAATATGGCTCAGCATACCTGGTTTATAACCCGTAGCTCTTTTGACAGGGCAAAGTGAAACAGAGACATTGTGCTGGGAAATACAGACCTATGGACTGTGCACATTTTGAGCTTGTGTTTATTTTTTTCTTCAGTGCAGGAAGGTTATTGCTGGACACAGCCCTTGATCTGACGCAGTATCTCCAACATGAATCCAGTAATGTAGTACTTCTGCAAGGCCTGAGCTACCTGGAAATGTTCTACCACATGATGGAGAGACAAAATATTTCTGATGTCACACAAAACCTTAAGGTCTGTTTTTAATTTGAAAAAAAATTTGTTTTTTAAAGACTTGAGACACATGAGATGGATGCTCAATTAGTATTCAGAGGGTGTTGTCCTTCTCCTCTTGAGAGATTAAAAGAGAAGGAAATATCTTCAAATACCAATTATTAACTAGCTAAGTTCTAACCACCACATTCCACTGTCTTGTCTTATTCTGCAGTTTTTCAACTTGTGCAATAATAATCCATGGCTGTGGTTCCCCCTGCTCTTCTGCAAGCTGGTCTTACCCATGTTGCAGCTGCAGAATGAGTGGCATAACATCAGGGCTTGCATTCCAGTGCCACCTGACTAATAGGAGCAGGAAAGCTCATTACTTTCTTTCCGTAACTCTCAATTGTGTTAAGCCAATGTAGACTGTAAGCTCCTTGAGGCAATATATGAATAATTTCTCTGTCCTTTGTGTGGGGAGGGAGACATAGCATCCCTATTCACTTTGCATGAAGGCCCATAATCATGATTAAAAACTGGATTGTTGCAAGGTATGCTTAGGTTCATTAAGCAGAACTGCACGCATCAGATGTTTTAAAATGTGAGTATAGCTAGCTCAGCTGTGGGCGCACTATGGACATGCATTGTTAAAAAAGAAGTCAGAAAAACCATGTTGGAAGTATATACCATTGCAGATTTGAGCGTGACTTCTGAATACTGCAGCTGTAATGAGTGGAGTACAACTGAGTCATTGCTGAAAAGTGGATTTATATACCTACCTGTGATCTGCTCTCTCTGCAGCAGTACATCCTACAGCATTTTAAGCCAGTGATTGACAGGCAGACGTGGCGTGATGAGGGCTCCGTCTCTGACAGAATACTACGTTCTGATCTCCTGAGGCTTGCCTGTGAGCTACAATATCCTCCCTGTATCCAGAAGGCAAATGAGCTTTTCAGCCAGTGGATGGAATCTGGTGGGACATTAAAGTAAATGACTTACCAGCTTTTTAACATTCCTTTTCACGTAGGCATACTGTACTGGGGATTTAGCTTGCCTTTCTAGCAAAGATTTTGCAAGAACATTGGAATAGAAACTTTTGGTCATCTGGAAGAAGGGAAAAGTCCCGAGTAATCTTTTCCTATAGTGTGTTTGTGTGACTTACAATGTAATATCAACAAATAGGTTAATTCATGTTAAATACTTTTCTGCTGCTTGCTCCTTTCTACTGACTTTACTTGCTGTTCTTTCTCTCCTGCTTTTTCAGTGCAGTCTGGCCCTCTGGATTACTCAGTTATCCTGACTTGAAAGAGCCACATATCCATATAACTAAAAGAAAATCAAAGTTTATAACTCAGCTGTCCAGTCCTGAACTGATGGAATAGTAGAGATGCACTACCACGTTCGTAACTCAAGGAGGCACTGTGCCTCAGGCACAGTGCTTGTTAGAGGTCCGGGGGGAGGGGGTTCCACTACAGCCCCTTTTATAAGAGTACAGTATACAAAATCTAGCTTGAATACTTCCATTGGATACTGCAGTGGACATGTTGGACCCAACCCCCTCCTTATCCACTTTAGAGAACAAAGCTCTGGCTCTGGGCTAGTCTTGTGCATTCAGAAACTTGAGTGAGAGCAAGGTCTACTATTGTTCCCAACTCCTGCATGGATGTGCAAGAGGGGAGGCTCATTATGTAGTCTTCCTCTCCCCTCTTGCAACCTCCAAGGGCAGAATATAATTGTGCTCTTACCATTCTTGACTTTACTGCTTTAGGTGGGACAAAAAAAAATCCACAGGCATGGCACTATGGTAAATAATTACTAAATCTATCTAGTCAGGTATTCACAGCCCGCAACATCACAGTGCATGAGCACCATACACTATGAGCAGTTGTAAATGTTTAAATGAAGGGGCTGGGCCAGGGGTAGCCAGGTGCTGCTCCCCCCAGCCCTTTCTGCTGTGCAGAACCATGCTCCAGCAGCGATTTAAGGGCCTGGGGCTTTGGCCATCACCACTGCCACAATAGCAGCAGCAGCCAGTGGGTCCTTTGAATCACTGGGCCCTGGGTTAATTTGCCCCTTTGTCCTTCTTCCCTCCCTCCCCCACTCTTTGGCATCTCTTTCCTGGGAAGACATAGAATGACAGAAAAAGTGAAAAGTGCACTTCTGCTTTCTGGAGTGTTATTCAAGGTAGAAACATGTCTTGACTGTAAATATTTCACATATTTTAATGTATTATAAAATGCTCCAAATTCTAGGCATTTTCTTCTTTACAAATCCTAAACTGGCCCTGCTTTCATGGAAAATCTTTTCAATCTTTCAGGAAAAAAATGGCCCAAATTGTTTTAAGATGGTAATGTGAGCATGTCTGATTTTTCACATTTTTGCAACCAAATTATTTCTTGTAAAATTTCAGGTACATGAAAATGGGCAGAAAAAAATGCAGAAAATGCTGCACAGCCCTAAAACTGACCATGATTGTATCTTTTGGTGCAGCTTTATGGGAGGGTATTGGGAAAGATAAATTGCAAACAGACTTGATATATGATTCTGCTATTGTACATCTGTGTAGACAGAAAGTAAGAGCTAAACAGAGCTAAAAAAAAGTTATTTGACCCTCCTTATCTTTCCCCTCTTTTGTTTGATGCCACAGCGTTACTACAGATGTTCTAAAGACAGTCTACTCGGTTGGAGCACAGACAATGGCAGGGTGGAATTATCTACTGAAGCAATATAGTCTGTCAATGTCAGGAGCAGAAAAGAATAAAATTCTGTATGCTTTGACAACCAGCAGGCATTGTGAGAAACTGACAAAGTAAGAACTGTCTTTGCTCATTATTAAATACAAAACAGTGCCAAGTTCCTTCACCAATGCGTTATGGAAGCATGACTCTCAACAGCAGTGGAAAATGAGTTGAAAATGTGGAACTGTATATTTTTATTTACTTCTTCCCCTTCCTAATAATTATTGATGGGATGATACCATAAGGGATCTTAGTACTTGTCTACACTGCCACTTTACTGACCACCTACTTCCCAAGTGCAACAAGTTACAGTGCTGTAAAGTGCCAGTGTAAACAGGCTCCCACCACTGTTAACTACTCCCCTCATGGAGATGTTTTATCTACAGTGCTGGGAGAGCTCTTTCACATTGTTGGTACTGTAACCAGGCTGCTGCATTAAATTGCTGCCGTGGCTGTGCTTTAAACTTAGACGTGAAAGGCCATTGGAAAGCAACTCTTGAAGATCCTATGTATGCAGTACATACAATGAAATTCAAGTACTTTGAAGTGTATTTTGTTCTGAAAAGTGACCATGTAAGAATTGTTCTCACTTAAGAGACATGTTTCCTGTTTTTACTTGTGTTCCAGTAGTTTAGTGACTAAAACAAATGTTTGTTAACATTCCAGAGCTAATTCTGCTCTAGGAAAGTAAGTTGGATTCTATTCTGGCTTGTATATTATTGATGTGAGTGAATAGCCATAGACTTCACCAGGATGTTCAGATACCATTCATTCCGGGTTGGGAATTAAAATAAGCCATTTTACATTGTAAATTGAGAAAATTTGACCTGGAAATTACTGAACAACCAAACATTTTCTTACAAAATAGTAGAGCCTCATTTTATGTGATGATTGTGCACCCTACCATACTGTTAGGATTTTTGCAGAAGCCTTTTTGGAAATCAATGAAGAGTTTTGCCTTCCTGTCAGTGATACAGTTACTTCTATAATGAAAAAACATTGTAGTAGCCCTGCTTAATTAAAACTTGCAAGTTGATATTTAAAGCACTGAATTGTCATCCTGCTCATTATTTTCTAGTCTCCTATTTTATAATTAGTTCCCATGTTTGAATATCAAAAGGAAATGTGTGTTAAGTAGTGGTGTCCTAGAAAGTGGCTGATCTGTTTTAATCTTTTCAGGTTACTTGAGCTGGGCATGGAAGGTGAGGTTATCAAGACTCAGGATCTAGCAGCTCTAGTTCATGCTATTGCCAGAAATCCAGAGGGACAAAGACTTGCTTGGAATTTTGTGAGAGAAAACTGGGACAAACTCCTTAAAAAGTTGGTATTTGTTTATCTTCTTTAGCCAGTATTGGTGGTGAATCCTGACAACTGAGAGTGTAAAAAGGGATAAGTTATTCCACTAGAGAAGACATCTTGTTTTTCATGTATGACACATTTATGGAAGTGGGCCCCAAAAACACTAGCTTCTATCACTTGATCTAAAGAAGCAACACTGAAGGTCTTGCGAACAATTTAATGAGCACTTGGGTGGTTTTCTGCCTTCTTTAAAGAGGAAGTATGAGTCCTGTGCTTCAAGTTGGGGTACAGAACCCATGCTCGCATACCACTGCTAGAAACCGACTAGTCTATTTTTATTGTCCCTCTGAGAGAAAGGGAGAGAAGTGCAAACAACATAAATACTGAAAAGCAGTTTAGACTGTAGAAAATGCTTTCAGTTTGATAATCTAAAGTGGCTATATCTTTATGGCTAAGGATATATGTTTATAATTTTTTAAAATTTCCTAGTGTTGCTTCATAAGAATAAAGGAGCTGCCATACTGGGTCAGATGAGGTCTATCTTGCCCAGTGTCCTCTCTCTGACAGTGGTTCATACCAGAACTTCCTGGAGAACAGGGCAGTTACGCATTCCTGTTTTCCACTCCTGTCTTCTGGTAGTCAGAGGATTAACCCTGTCGTGAGCATGGTGTTGTGTCCCCGATAATCTTAGCTAATAGCCTTTGATGGACCTATCCTCCATGAACATGTCCAGTTCTTTAACTAATAAATATTCACATATTAGAAAGAGACTAGTAGAGAAATTTTGTACTGAAACAGGTTACAGTTCAGATAATCTAAAGTGGCTATATCTTTATGGCTAAGGATATATGTTTATAATTTTTTAAAATTTCATAGTGTTGCTTCATAACAATAAAGGAGCTGTCATACTGGGTCAGATACTGGGTGTATATTGTTTGTATTATATAGTTATTCTTTCCTGTTTACAGGTTTGAATTAGCCTCTTTTTCTATAAGAATTATTATTACTGGCACTACATCTCACTTTTCCTCCCAAGACAAGCTAGAAGAGGTTAGTGACATTCTATTAATACTTTTTGGTAATTTATAGTCTCATATTTCTTGAGCTATCAAATAAAAATGCTTAACTGCCCAGAACAGCCTGCATGAGAGAGTGCTCTTTCTGTGTTACCACGATGAAAAGGAAAATTAAGTTAAAGATTTAAAAATCCATCAGATAACTTGACAGAAATGTTAGCAGTGGTTCTAAAGTAACTTATTGATGAGACGTGCATATATTATGTGTGTGACGTTTTAGTGTCCAGAAAGTGTTTGATCTCTTGTTGTATTATAGACATTTCTCTTCTGTGCGTAGGGGAATAGGTTTATTCTTCAGTTATTCATATAATTGCCAATATTGTCATCTATATATTTCGATTTCATGTGGGGGAAAAATCACGTTCATGTTCATTGCATAATCACATATTTGATTAGAGAGCCAACACTTGAGGTTGCTGCATGGGCATGTGGGAGGGCATTGTATGCTTCTTGCTTCAAAGACAATTTTTAAAAACAGAAGCAACAACAACTAGATGAAGATAGGGTGGGTGGGAAGGATATAACATCCAATCCAGGGTCTCAATTCTGAATTCCTGTGCCCAAGCAAAGCCCTGCCGAAGTCAGGCTTTGTGTGCTTAAAGAAAGGGTATCAAGTGGTCAGTGTGGTGAATGGCCATATATTTCAGGTCATTTTTAATGGACGTATATATTTGTTTGGGTTTTAATATTTACAATACATGTATATTCATTGGAAGGCACTTGGCTCAAGTTGGGAAAAGATTTGTAGGAGAGCATAGATCATGTCACCTAAGTTTTAGGGAAGCCACAATTAAGATGACTAATGCCAGCTCTTGGGCCTATGTTTTCCTAGCAGATGTTTATATTTAGTCAGAAAATAACCCAACATTTCTCCAACAATAAATAACTCCCACTGCATTAATGATTCTTCTGTCTTCTAGGTGAAACACTTCTTTAGGACTTTGGAGGACCAAGGATCACAGCTAAAAATCACTGAAGTTGTGTTGGAAACCATAACAAAAAATATTAGATGGTTGAAAAGGAATCTCAACAGTTTAAGGAACTGGCTGCTAAATAATGTTTAAGCCATACTCCAAAGTAGAGAAGGATTACAGTTTAATTGTTCCTTTTCACTCCCCACTGTAGTAATGTAGGTTTGAATGCACTGTTTCCTCAGAATCCATATTTGCACAGGATAGCTATTTTGATAACCTCAAAGATGTTACAGAAAGTTTTTTTTCTGATCCAGAGCTGGCTAAGGAAAAAGGACCTATTGTGAAGAATGCCTATGAACTGTTTCAATAATTTGTCACAATGTAATGGTGTAAATATCTATCTGATGATGTATTAAATTTTAGTGTTGCAAAAACACAGCCAGTTGCCCCTGTTCTTAGATAGATACATTTTTTGTTATACACAAAGAAACATTGTGGCTATGTAGCCAGATTTTCAGAAGCGGCCACTAGGTACCTCAGTTTGAGGGCTCAACGTGAGGCATTATGTATCTCCTTTCCACTAGGTGCCTAAGGATCCTGAGTCCACAAGAAAGTGCCTCCCCTCATTCTCCTAAACTGCTCATTTTCCATCTAAGAATCACACAGTGAGGTTTATAGAACCTCTTCCCAAGCATGGGGTACTAAAGATTATGAAATTTCTCTGTTCTTTGCAGCAGAACTAGTTGGTGGGAGTGGCTGTTCCTACTCCAGCACAGTTGGTAGGCTTCTAATGCCACCCATGATTTTGTGCTATCATTTAGTAGTTGTTTGAGTTTATTATTAAATTGTGAGCCTGTTGGATATATACTTTGCTTTTATGTTTGCACATGAAGTATTATCTTCGCCAAGAGCTAGATATAAAATAATAATAAACATTAATCATCATATTATATCGTATTATTAGTGAATGTAAAGCAAAGAAATCCTGTTGACTTTTTTAAATGAAAGATTACACACAAACTGTTCTTCCATTTAAAGATGTATTCAAATATTCTTTATTCCCATTAAAGAATACAGTAGGAATTATATAGGAAAAGGGTCTGAACTATACTAGTCACACATTGGCCTTAGCTACCATGAACAATAAAGCTATCAAAGCTTTATCAGGGAAACAGTTACCTTAGTGCTTCCATTTTTAAAATGAGTTATCAACCACCATGTTGTTTGTCTTAATCCTTTTATTACTTTGTGTTATAAAACAATTTGAGGGAGAGAAAGTGTCAGCTTTATTTTCTCAGGTCTTAATGATACTGAGTTGTGTTATGGTATTTGAGCCACTACCTGAGACAGCCATCAGATTGTAGTATAATGAGTGGAAACAGAGAAAGGTGGTCGGGTTCCTTGAGGAACCTACTGTGGTGTGACACCAGGGGCATCAGGCATGCAAGTAGGGCCAAGCTGCTATCAAACACAGGACTCCCAGAATGTAATGTTAGTCTCTGTGCAAACTCCACAAAAGATCCCTTCCCTGAAACTCATGCTTCATCATTTCTTACTCATGCCACATACTGCATGATCAAAAGCTAAACAATTCCTTTTTTGTTCTTTATAGACAAGCAAAGCTCTTTGTTCTATTTGGTATTTATTTGTCCCCCACTGCACAAGAATTACCCACAGTATTCCAGCAGTTGTCACACCAATGCCAAACATAAAGATAAAACAACCTCTCTTATTCCCTTGTTTACACATTCTAGCATCACATTCTTTTTTAGCCTCAGGGCCACACTGTTTTCATGTTTAGCTGATTATCCATCCCAAATCTTTTTCAGAGTCCTAGCTTCCTAGCATAGAGTTCCCCATCCTAGACTGATGGCCTTCATTCCTTGTTCCTGCATGTGTACATTTACATTTAGCTAGACTGCATGCATGTTGTTTACCTGCGCCTAGCACACTGAGCAATCCACATCACTCTGAATCAGGACCTGTCCTTCTCATTATTTACTGCTCCTTCCATTTTTTTTGCCATCATCACATTTTATCAGTGACTTTTTTTTTATGTTTTCTTCCAGGCCATTGATAACAAAACATTAAAAAGTGTAGAGCCAAGAACATATCCCTATGGAACCCCATCAGAAATGCATCCATTTGATGATGATTCCCCATTTACAATTATATTTACATTACAATTAGTTAATTTTTTAATTCATTATTGTGATACAAGAAAAAAGTGTACAAGGATTCTGAATGTATATACACATCAGTGTTTATAAATCACTTTAGAATGTTAATCATCAATGTAATAAGCACTGTATAAAAGCACTTGATTTTACATCACTGGACCACATCCTGACTTGGTGTTAACTGGCATAGCTCTTTTGATTTCAGAGGATCTCCACCAGTTTACATTAGCAGAAGATTAGCCCCATTACTTGTAGTGCTGTGTTTCATTTTCTTTTGGATTGCGTACTGCACAAAATGTGGAGAACTCAAAACTTTTACTCTCTTTATTGAGATTTAAACCACAGAGAAGGTGCACACATCAGCATATCTTTAGCATGAATTCTCTATTTTGATCTTATGTTGAACCAACTTGTTTCAAAATTTGGTGCCACCTACACAGCACCAAATTTCAAAATAAAGCGCTGTTCCAAAACATTCCTTAATCCTCGTGCAATGAGGTTTACAGGGATGTTAGAAGAGCGAGCCCGTTATATTTTGATATAATGAGTTTGCTCTTAAGACACAGAATAGCTATTTTTAGATTCCAGAGGTATCCTGAAATAGCTCTACAGTGTAGATGTAGCCTTAGAAACCTAATCACAAGAACCGTGTATAATTGTGGGGCTTGTAAAAAATGGTTGTGGAGCTAGCATAGAAGGCTTTGTTGGAGCCATGTGTGACGGACCGGGCCGTGTCTGGGCACAGCTGAGGGTGTCTGCTCAGGGCGAATTGCTCAAATCCGGGGCTCCTTACAGCCCCCAGACTGGTGACCTTTCCGCACAGGCCACAAACCAGTCCCACAGAGTGCTTCAGCAGCCTGCCTGAAGCCTCCCGAGCAAAACCCCTCTGACACCCCAGCAATAACCGTGCCCCAGATGGCCCCAGACCTCATACACAGGTGGGGGGTCCTAGCACCCAATCCCACCTACCCCGAACAAGTTCTGTCCGGTTCCAGGAAACCAGCCACAGATCCTTGGTCAATTTATCCTTTGGACCTTACCCACAAATCACACTGGGCCAATCCTTTAGCACTAACAACTAAAGGTTTATTAACATAAGAAAGAAAAGCATGAGAGTAAGGTTATTAAAGTACAGTATGTTACATGCACCGAATCTCCCAGTTCTCGATGCAGGCTCGAGCAGAGATGTTGCAGCTGCTGATTTAAAAGTTCTTATTGCACATCCTAAGATCAGGATGGGTTCACAGGTCTTCCGGGCTCTTCGATCCCTGCAGTGCTGCCTCTGGGATGAAGTGCTGAGCTGAGAGCAAGAAGGCATCGACCACATGGCCTCTTTATACCTCCTTCCTGGCCTCTTCTTGTATGCAGCAAGTCACCTGGTCAGAGGCCAATCTCTATGTTCCCTGCTGGCTGCTCTCAGGTGACAGCCCCTATTCTTTGGGTGTGTCCATAGCCCATTGAGAGCCATTGTTACACAGGGCTTCGCTACTCAGCCTGTCCACAGCAATGCTTAATCACATTCAGAGAAATATTCAGCTTCCACACAGATTACGGATTCCTACCTACACACATAGACATTATACACTCACATAAATAGCGTACATAAGATCAACAAACAATAAGCTCCCATTCAATACCCCACATGGCTCCCTTTTATACCAATTTCTGGGGCCAGCACCCCCACCTAGGGGTGCAGCAGCGATCTGGCTGCTTCCCTCCAATTCGGTAATGTGACACCATGACATAGGCTATAATGTGATTCTCTAATACCATTCAGTAAATACATTGTCCTCTCCATACTACAAAACAAAAACTGCTCCCCTCCTCCCCCACACACAGGGTGCATCTAGACTGGGAAGATTTTGCCAGCTGTCTACACTGGCCGCTTGAATTTGCGCAAGAGCACTGACTTTGTAATGTACAAAATCAGTGCTTCTTGAATTAATATGTCCTGAATATGATTGGAAAAGTAGCTACATAAAAATGATACTGCTTACTCAATGGCTGTATCTAGATTGGCAGGATTTTTCGGAAATACTTTTAACGGAAAAGTTTTTCCATTAAAAGTATTTCCGCAAAAGCGCATCTAGATTGGCACGGATGCATTTGCACAAAAAGTGCTTTTGCGCAAAAGCATCCGTGGCCAGTCTAGACGCTCTTTTGCAGAAATACTTTTAACTGAAAAACTTTTCCGTTAAAAGTATTTCCGCAAAATCATGCCAGTCTAGACGCCACACACTATGCCAGACAATCATGCACTGTCACAATTAGACTTGCAGTGTAAATGGGCCTTTTATTGCAGCAGCTGTGTCCAACTGCACAAGGAAGGAGCACAAATGCTCAAGTGGTTTTTAAAATAATGACAGCTAAATGGTAAAACTGTTTTTCACCTTAGTGATTTAAAAATCTAGCAGAGTAATTTTACTGTTTAACTAGAGCTAACTGCACTTTCCCTAAATGGCCTGACCTGGATGTTGTGCTGTTCCTTATTTGCTTTCTTATAGGATTGGTTTCTGAAGGAACAAGGCCAACATATGGCAGATGGATCACTCAGAGAGATGAATAGGAAGCCAGAAAATTCACAGCAGAGAAAAGACAAGACTGTTACTGCTAAATAACACATCTACAGCTAAAACAGGGCTGAAAAAGATGATAGACTTTCAATTTATGCTTCCAGATGGATTCCAGAGGGAATAAACAGGGGTCTTTTCTCCTTTCATGGTTCATTTTAGCTTTATTGCTACTCTGAGACGATACACAGGTCCGTTTAGCATATTTTAATGGGCACTGTTGTGATGTGTGGATTGCTTGTATTATGATCCCTATGCTGCTGAAAAGGGGATGTGCCTTGAAACCACATCTTTACAGCAGCAAGGGCACTGTAGTGTGTTACACTATTATAAACTACAGGTGTGGACATTCCCCAAAAATACTGTAGTGTCTCTACTGAAATACACAGGACTGTAATATGATAAATCTTTCTTTAAAAAATGCACCACTATTTTAATAATGTACGTACTTGTTCTTTTCTGCTTGTGAGTCCAACAGCCTGCAAAAATTTCTGATTGAGGCTTGTTTCAAAGACTCATGCAGCTGAAGTGAGCAAAATTTGGGCTTTGAATACTGAGGATTTCAGAGAGATAAAAGCATTGTGCTCTATGACAAAAACTCTTTACTTAGAGCATATTAAACATTCTTTCAGAGGTAGTGCTTAAAGAGCAACCAGGTTAGAGCATTGCGCTATATGTTGTACAGATTTGCTCAAGTTAAGCAATTGTTTTGTCAATTTTTTAGGTATAACACAAAAAGGCTTTTAAATACAAAATCTAAATTACTAACATTACTAGAGTCTGATGTAATAGTGCAAACAGGAATACTTAGATGATGGCATGAGCTCTAAATATGGTCACTGACTCCATGGGAGATGGTAGCCAAGTCACTTCACCTCTCTTTCCGCATTTGTAAAAAGGGGACAATAATATTAATTTTGTCTGCCTCACTGGGAATTGTGAAGATGAGTTATTCTCTGAAGAGCTTTAAGATGAAAGTCCCTTTGGAAATGCTAAGTATTGTAATAGCCATTAACCAGGCTAACTTTTGCCTTTCTAAAATATCTGCTTGTCTAACACTATGATTGGGATTTTCATGAGTAGTCACTGATGCCTCTGACTATTCCCACTGACAGTTGATATTGGAGGTGGAG